GGGGGGGGAAGGGGGGGGGGGGGCCATACCTACCTGCAACCATGTTTGTATGGTCTCTGTGTCAGTCGAGCACTGGAAGACCAGCCCATCAGACAAGGGCCTCGGCTGGTGAGCCATCCTGTGTGTGCATCACATACACACACACACAGATGGATGGATGGATGGATGGACACGCACACACACATTCAGATGCACACTACACTAGTACCAGTGTGTGCAGTTGATGGCGACCACCAAGTGGAGACTCTCGTCGGGCGCCTGACGCTCGTACTGCAGACAACACACATACACAGTCGATGAATGCCGCCCGTGTTGCCCTCCCCTCCCCGTTCCTCACCATTGTCTTCCCGGACGCAAAGGCCATGGCTCTCGGCGGCCCCTCAGCGGCGTAGCCCGACGGCGCATTGACCGTGTTGAAGAGCTCTGCCCAGTGGTTGGATGGCAGGTCGTTGTGGATGACACACAGACACCGATTGCCGCCGATCTCATCTCGGTGCTCTTGCATGGCCTTGAGGACGGCCGCCATCATTCCGTCGGACGCCTTGCCGTGACCACACCTGCACGGTCCAAGCAATCGAGCCGACACACGAAAGTCAAGACACAGGTGTGGCGTGCCAACCTACCCGCAGTCGAGGGCCCACACGGGGCCTTTGTTGCCTCTCTGCCGCTCTTCCACGAGCGTCTTGATGAGCCCCTCGGACACCACTGAGTGCCACAGACGCGCCGCACCCTGCAGCACAGAGCAAATCACAAGGTGAATGAGTGAATGCAGCAAGGGATGCCGGCAAGCGTGTCTGTCTGTCTGTCTGAGTGTGTCGGCAGGCACCTGCTGCCAGTGGCTGCCGTCCTCATTGTACGACTTGCCCATGATGGGCGTCACGACATCCGCCATCCTTGCCATGGATCTTTCTCCCTCAGAGCGTGTGTGTGAGCCACCTGCCGGCCTCTGCTTGTCGTATTCTCTCTGCACTGGTTGGTTGGTTAGTGTGTTTAACGAGACTCGTGTCTGTAACCCCGGAGGGATCCTGTTGTCTCACGCACTAAACTAGCAGCATGTACATGCAAAGCATGCACACGGCCTGTCTACCCCGCCCTGCACTGGCACCGGCGGACAAACAGATGGCAACAGAGAGCACTGGCTGCCTTGTAGAACGTTGACAAACACCGATTCCGGCTACATACACAAGAACGGGCGCTGTCGCCCAGCAAGAGCCATGGCAAGTGTACAGAAGCCAGAAGGGGGAAGTAGAAAAATGAGCGCCCTCTGAGCCACCAAAGCAACAATCAGCCCTGTCGACTGCGAGCCAAGCGCGCAGATGCCGATCGGCGTCTGTCGGCGTCGTGATTCTCAAGATCTCTCCTCAACGAGGCCTCACGACCCATGGGAGAGGCTCTTCTGACCAAGATCAAGATCTCTCGGCAAGCGACTGATTCATTGCTCTCCTACTGCCGCTTCCTTAGAGTCCCGGTCCTCTGCCAAGCTCATTCCTTCGAGTGTCAGCGTGGACAAGATTGTCAACTGTGGAGAGCTGAGTTAACTGCCAATGTGGAGGCCCCTTCCTATTCTGGGATGGCGTGACGTGTTCGACGTCGCCGGTTGCCCATCGTCTTGCCCTGCGTGGAAGGGGCCTGCTTATCCCAAGAAGCCATCTCCCAGGTGTAACAACCGCGGGGGCGACCACGTCCTTGTGCACTACAAGGGCCACGCAGAGGTGTGCCGCTTTCCACTACGGGCCAGTGTGGAGGACACGATGGTCGTCGTACGGGAGAAGTTCGGGCCGCATGGGTTGGAGCCCAACCGACTCGTGCGGTTTGTCAGTCCCTATGGGCAGGTTGTGGATCCTTTGCACTTGTTTTCTTATGAAAGTGTGGCACTCTGGCTCGGTCAGTGCTCTTCGGGACAGACAGACAGACAGGCAGACAGACGTCGACAGTCAAGAGCCTTCTCTCTTCCCCGCGTGTGCGTGTGTGTGTGCAGGTCCGCTGTGGACGCCTGAGCAGGAGGAGGTGTGGAGGAGAGAGAACGCCCCCTCGTGGGTCAAGTGGCTGCGCCGCAACCTCAGGGGGCAGAAGGTCGAGCAACGGGCACCCACAGAGGACCACCAGCCACTCCTGGCCCACCACGGCGACCTGGTCGTACAAGGACAGCCCTGACTGACAAACACGCACATGGCTGCCTGCCTGCCACCCGCTTGGCCACACAAATGCAGCCAGGTGCTGCACTGCACAAATGCTCACACACAGTTGTGTGTCCTTTCCTTGAAGATACAACCTTTCTGTGTTTTGCCGGTGGATGGATGCGTCCATGCAGTTAGTTGCGATTGTGCTGGCTGCGTGGCTGACCGGCCGACAGCAAAGAGGGAGGGACGGCTGCGGAGAGACGGCCGAGGAGAGGCGTGTAGGTCGATGAACGAAGGGTACACTACACACACATGGCTAGAGGGAGGGAGGGAGGGAGGGAGGGTCCGCGCCCTAATCAACAAACGTGTGTGTCTTGGTGTTGTTGGTCTGGTCTTGTCAGGTTTGAGTGAGTGAGTCGTGCTGAATGCGCCTCTCTCTGTATGTCCACACCCCACTCGCTGTAACTAACAGGATGGAGAAGCACCTGCACGCGCCCGACCCTCAGCTGGTGTGGGTGAAGCTGTTCGCCATCATGGACGCCGACAAGGTGGACGTGCGGCAGTTTGCGGGGTCACACTACACCTTCATCGTCGAGCCGCACGTCAAGGCCCTCGCACACAACATACGCGACGCTCTGCTGGAGCTAGAGGGCGGGCAGAAGTAGTCTGTGCGTATCGATCGGTGTTTGTGTTTTGCACATGTGCGTGTGGATGGAGGGCTGGCTGTGTGTGGCACGCGAAGCGTGGGTCGATGTGGGTGTGTCTGTGTGTGTGCGGATGGATGGATGGATGGAGTTTGTGTGTCGGCGTGCGTGTGAGTGCAGAGCACATCACATGCTGCTGTGGCGGGTTTTGATGCGTCCGTGCATTACGGTGTTAATGTGTCCAGACAGGCAGCACAGCGGTCGGTCCAACCCAATGTTTGTGCGTGTTTAATGTGTGTGTGGCAAGTGGCGTGCACGCGGAGCGTGGGTGGGTCGACGATTCGTTCATGCCTCGCCTCTGGTTTATTATGTGTGTCTGTGTGTGTTTTTGAGTCTGCGTGTCGGTACATCGCTTGACCGTGTGCATGTACGTTGATGAACAAATGAACGCACAGTGATCGGTCACATCTAGAGTAAGTGAGTGACGACAGAGAGAGAATCCGACGGAAGGGATTTTGCCCTCCGTTGTGAGTGTTCGCTTCTGTTGATATCTCGCATGAACACTCAGCGCATGAAAGCAGACACGGAGAGAAACCTCCCAAACTTCCCTCCCTCCCTCCCCTTGAGGGCACATTTGAGAGCACACGAAGGCATCGCAGCGCACACTATACCTACCTTCGAACATATACAGATCACATGCACGCACGAATCATGAGAAAGGCACCACCCGTCTGACCCCGTCTGACATTGTGCCATATCTGCAGAGACGCGCGATATAACGGATTATCAACAAAACGACCTACAGCAAAGGCAGACAAACACATAGAAAGGCACGCCCACAGTCACAGAGACGGACACCCACACACCCACCCAGACACACACTCACAGAGAGAGACAGAGAGAGAGAGAGAGCAAGCGGGACAGTCAGTCCTGCGTGCGGTTCGCTAGGAACCACGTCACATTCTGAATGACCAATGTGACGTTCCCAATCTCCACCGTCCCGTTTTGCACTGCAGCCGTTGCATTTCTCCCATCATTAAACGTGGCCGAGGTCACGTTCCTGAACACAGCCTCAGTCTTGTTGAGGGTCCAGAGGACGCCCCTGAGAGATGCTGTTGCGTTCATGAGCTCGTAGTCTGGGAGTTGGGCTGCAGCATGTTCCTACAACCAGCCGTGCCAGAAGATGGACCAGATGACGACGAGGATAACCAGAGTCGGACACAGCAACCATTGGCACCAGATGCACACGAACTCGGCTATGAACACGAAGATAAGCTTGCAGATGGGCTCCTGAGCCGGATCAACATCCAGTCCGAAAAGACGCCGGACCACCATGTCCGCGAAGGTGGTGGCCATGACCGCTCTAGACGTGAGGTAGAACCAGCCGACAACCGTGCCGACATTGAGCAGCCGCTTGACGTCAGGGGGGAGGTCGAATATCCCAATGACCAGCCAAGTATCAGCGATGTTCACCACAATGACCCCAAGGGCCATGAGCTGCCACACCAGCGCTTGCCATCCTGAAGATCGGAGCGGGCGAGTGCAGGCTGTGTCCCAGCACGCGATCACACAACCTTCGCAGTCAAAGTACATGGATTCAAGCAACTACTTTTCACGTAAAGTTCCGAACTTAACGCTTTGCGAGCTTTAACCGCCTTGCGAGCTAAACGATTGGAGCTCTTCAGCGCTGAAGATTGAAACACAGATTTCCCAACCAGCGTGGACAAGATTGTCAACTGTGGAGAGCTGAGTTGCCGATGTGGAGGCCACTTCCACTTCCCGGATGGCGTGACGTGTTCAACGTTGCCGATTGGCCATCGTCTTGCCCTGCGTGGAAGGGGCCTGACTATCCCGAGATGCCATCTCCCAGGTGTAACAACCGGGGTGACCACGTCCTGGTGCACTACAAGGGCCACGCAGAGGTGTGCCGCTTTCCAAGATTGGGCAGGGCGGAGGACTTCATGGTCGTCGTACGGGAGAAGTTCGGGCCACATGGGCTGGAGCCCAACCGACTCGTGCGGTTTGTCAGTGCCTCAAAGGAGGTTGTGCGGCCTTTGCATTTGTACTCTTATGACAGGGTGGCACTCTGGCTCGGTCAGTGCTGTTCGCGACACACAGATAGACAGACAGACAGACAGACAGACAGACAGACACACAGACAGACGTCGATAGTCAACAGCCTTCTTTCTCCCCCGTGTGTGTGTGTGCAGGTCCGCTGTGGACGGCTGAGCAGGAGGTGTGGCGGCGAGAGAACGCCCCCTCGTGGGTCAAGTGGCTGCGTCGCAACCTCAGCGAGCGGAGGCCGGAGCGACGGGCACCCACAGAGGACCACCAGCCACTCCTGGCCCCCCACGGCGACCTGGTCGTATAAGGACAGCCCTGACTGACAAACACGCACATAGCTGGCTCCCTGCCTGCCACCCTGCCGGCCAGAAAGGAGGACGAATCCCTTCGGCGTGACTGACCTTCGCTCGAGCTGCCCGCCCCCCTTTATGCCATTCATTTATTGGCGACCGACCACTGGGCTTCGGACTTGTGAGCCCGTGGGTGGCTGGCCGACGGCTGTCGCAGTCAGGCCGTCCGTCGCTGGGCTGCTTAGCGTCCGGACTCTCAAGTAAGAAAGATGAAGGCAATGAGGCAGGGAGGGAGGCAGGCAGGGGGGCACGTGTGTGAGTGTGTGCGCACACTGCTTCTTCTGGTGGGTGATGATTTCATCCTGCGCACAGGTTTGGTCTCACCCGATGCGCCACGCCTTCCCCGCCCGACGAGTCCATGCGGCTGTCTGCCTGTCATGCGGCCCCACCGGCGCGCTGGGTGGCAATGGGTGGGAAGGAGGCTGGGGCGGGGCGACGGGCGCAGGCAAGAGACAGACAGCCGGCTGAAAGCGACGAGAGGGGGGCAGCTTGGTGCGTAGATCGGCCGAGGGAGAGGCTGAGAGGAGTGGCTCGAAGATGAAGAGGGCTCTTTAGGTGGCGCCCGGCCGATGGACGACCTACCAGTCGATGGAGGACGGCCGTTGAGGACGTGTGGTTGCCATGGGGGCTGAGGGAGGGAGGTGTGTGTGTGGACTGATGCTGCCACACTTTTGTGATACCAAAGACCAAACGAATCTCGCACTGAGTTGAGGTGAATGTCAACGCATCATACTTTTCGGTTCCTTGCAACAGCACATCGCAACATGATACACACACCGATCTCTGACGGCAGTCTGTTGAATCATCCACATACTCACACACACACACACACACAGAGAGAGAGAGAGCAGGTGGAGACGCCATCCATCAACCTCCGTGTGACGCACCTATGCTATGACTGACAGGTGCTATTCGGAAGCGGCCTTGCTGAAAACCAACGCAGGAAGCTGCAAAAGGCGAACGCAGCCAGCAACAACACCATTCGCCTCTCTCTGTGCGAGTGCTTGTGTGGGCCTCACTTGTATGCCGCAAATATACCTGTTGCTGTTCTATGTCGGCCCGCCCTCTCTTGATGACGGCTGTGATGTCGTTCAAGAGGTCGCCGATCTTCATGTCGTCGAATTTCTCGTCAGTCAGGTTCAGCATCTGTTTTGCCTCGCCCTTGAATGTCGCCCAGTGCTGGGGTGATGGCGGTCGGTCGGGATCGGGATAGCCAGTGAGCACCTCATACTGCTTGTCCAGCCTGGAGGTCACCTGATCAAAACGGGTGTCAAACGCGTCGAAACGCTCCGTCACCGTGTCGAGCCGCTCCGTCACCTTCTTAATCTCCGTCTTGATCTCCGTCTTCATCTCCTTGAACATCTCCTTGATCTCCTTGCTCACCGACTCGAGCTCCTTGCTCACCGACTCGAGCCCCTCCCTCACTACCTGGCCCACATCGGGCTCACTGGCACGGCTCCTGAAGGCAACTCCCAGCCCGCAAAGGAAGTCACGCGCCTTTCCATCACACACACACACACGCGCGCGCGCACACACACACACACACACACACACGTGTACCCATCACTGCATTCGCATCCCTTTTGGTATCCCTTTCGCACCTTTGGCTTCGCTTCTGCAGCACAGGCACCCTCCGCAGCGTCACCATTGGCCCCCGCAGCGCCGCCACCCGCGGTCTCCTGTGTCGGAGTCTTCCTTCGTGGGGGCACGAACTTCACGATAGACAGCCACCGTGTGATGCTCGTCTGCTGGGAATTGCTCCGGTAGAAGGAGGGCGGGAGCGTCTCGAGTGCCTTGAGCAGAGGCAGGAGATCCTCGGGGATCTGATGGAATAGCGCTGGGTGCTGCAAGCTGTCGAGCGGGCAAACGTAAAGGAATGCCCGGGGATGCTCAGTGGGCAGTTGGCCGGCGTGGGGACAGCGGTGTGGGGAAAGCCCCTGCACAATCGCTGCCGCACTGCCGGACAGCGTCAGGTCGCTCCCCGAATCGCCCTCTTGAGAGCTGGTGCCTTGCAGCTGCAGCCAGACGGGCATCTTCGTGCCTTCGACTGTCTCCTCGTGCACCTTGACCACGGTGCCTCCGAAGTAGCGGTTGTGGGTGCTGATGTCGCAGCTGAGGGTGTTGCGAGGCCGCACACGAATTGCGATGGGGAGCTGGTTGGGGAAGGACGCCACCTCCTTCTTCAGGCTGAGGATGGCGATGTCGGGGTGGCCGTTGCGGATGTAGGCGGGAATGATGTAGCGCTTGTCGATTTCCACGAGCCTCTCATTCCCGAGCTTGGTCCTGGTCGCGTCGGGCACGATGTGCGCCGCCGTGACCAGGATCTTCGGGGCGGCAAGGAAGCCGAAGCCAAGAGGGTCGTTACCGTCGCCGAGCACCTCACAACGAATCATACCCTGCAGCACACAGCAAATCATAAGGTGAATGACTGAATGCAGCAAAGGAAGGATGCCGGCAAGTGTGTCTGTCTATCTGAGTGTGTGTGTCGGCAGGCACCTGCTGCCAGTGGCTGCCGTCCTCATTGTACGACTTGCCCATGATGGGCGTCACGACACCCGCCATCCTCGGCATCGATCTCTCTGCGTGTGTGTGTGTGTGTGTGTGTGAGCCACCTGCCGGTCTCTGCTCGTCGTATTTGCTCTGCGGCTGACTGCGAGCCAAGCCCGCATGATCTGGACATCAGGCCTTTGGTAAATACAGAGATGTTTGGGTTTATGCCTATGACAACGAAGGCCGCACTCGGCGACGGACAGACCACTTAGTCTCGCGCCACCCACTCACTGTGAAGAGTGTCATCTTTCCCTCGCCTCACTCACCAACACAACACTATGCAACGGAACACACAACAGCCGCGCTCTCGCGCAGGCACAGATAACACAGTGTAACGCACGCAACCAACAGGCTTTACTCACTCATGAGTGGTGACTCCCGCCTGGTCTGGACTCATAAAGCGTCCTGCATGACCTGACTGACTCTCATGCGCCTGACTACCCGACACATGCACAACACACGATCCCCGTCCGTCGATGGCCTCTGCGAAAAACGCATGGATGGATGGATGGAAACATGGCGCCCTGACTGACCCAAGCAGGTGGGCCAACACCGTAAAATGACTACAATACTCACAGCCACGCACTCGCTCATTCAATCACTCAATGAGTCGTGAAAAACACTCAAGGCACAAACACTCACACACACTCACTCACTCAGCTGCCCCAGCCGTTGCGCTGCTCGAACGAACACCTAAACACACACACACAGCAATGTGCCCATAAATACGTCTGTCTGTGTGTCTGTCGGTGTGTTTTGTTTGTCTGCGCACCCCATGTGCATGAAGTAGTTGCAGTCCACAGGGTCGATGCCCAGCATCGAGTCGCGCACGGGGTTGGCGAAGTTGGCCGTGTTGACGGCTGGCGTCTGGCAGGGGTCATACCTTCACACACACACACACAAACACACACACACACGTGTGTCATGTGATGTGTCTGGTGAGTGGTGCATGAGGTCACTCACCCGCCCTCGACCCCCGTCTGCAGTTCGCAGTTCTCGTTGCGGCCGCGCGTGCGGGCGCCCAAACCAACTGCAAACACACACAGACGATTACTTACGTGTGTTGGCGTAGTGGGTGGTGAGTGTCGGTACCTACCTCTGACACTGCCGCAGCCCATAGCGGGGCATCCGTCCAGCTGGTGGTCGCCGTATATGGCGGGGCCGGGGCCGCCGAAGGCAGAGTCAAACGACGAGCCGGGACCGAAGAACGCCTGACGACCACGACAACACACCGGTTGCACAGAGAGAGATGTTATGCGTGCCGTGCGTCGTGCTGTGCCTCTCTCTCTCTCTCTCTGTCCGTCTGCGTGTGTGTATGCCTCACTCCCTGCATCCGTCGTGTGTCGCCCTCGTCTGTGTCTGTGTCGTTTTGTCCGGATGCAGGTGTGCGCGTCATGCGCTTCATCTCCTTGCCGGCAGGATCGTACAGCACCAGCCCATCTGCCCCACACACGCACACACAGACAGAAATGCAAATGCACACACGTGAGGCTCTCTGCGGGTCGTGTGGGTCTGTCTGTCTGTCTCATCGCCGCTGACCGGTGCCCATGGTGGCCTTGAACCCGCCAGCGAGGTATATCTCGGCCTCTGCATCCTTGATCGACCGAACCACCGCATCAATGCGGCCAATGAACTGACACACACGCACATACCAGCATGACGCCCCTTTCACCCCACCCCTCTCTTTCCCCTCGTGCAGCGCACCTCAGATTCGTTCTCGTCGTCGAACATCAAGTGGAGTGTCTCGAGCTGCGACACGCCGTTGAAGTTGAGTGTCAGCAGCGACGACAGGTCCAGGTGGTGGAGGTGAGGGGCGGTGCGGACGACGGTGCGGAGGTTGTCGGAAGTGCGGATGATGCCGCTGTCGTCAACGGAAAAGGGCTGGGCGGCTGCACACACACACACACATCGGTAGGGAACACACAGAGACGGACAGGCGACTGTGCGTGTGGGGTGCGAATCTCTCTCTCTCTCTCTCTCTCTGCAGGAGTCAGTGTGATTGGTACCTACCCTCTTCACTCTGCAGCTGCCGGCGCACATGGCCATCCACCACACTGAGAGAGAACAACACACAACGCGCACACACGCAGAGATGGAAAATGCCGGTTTGTCAGTTCATCCGTCGCATCTACACGGATCCGCACTCATTGCCGCACCTGTGGAAGGCCAGCAACGCGCAGATCAATGAGACGGCGCGGGTCATGCTGATGAGATCAGAGATCAGATCAGGCAGAAATGCGATAGATGCGATACAGTGCGATGGGGTGCGATGTGTGAGAGCCCCAGACTTTGAAAAAACCAACGCGAGAAGAACCTGAGGATCGTTCAGATTTGCGAGCTCAGATCTTCGAGCGGAAGGAGAGGAAAACAGGCGACGAGCAGCTACCAAGCAACACCATGAGCACCATCATCACCAACATCTTCCCAGGCCGCTACATCCAAGGGCCGAATGTGAGTGTGCATCAAACCAATCACCACTTCGGAGCGCTGCCTCTGCCTCTCTCCCCATCCCCGTCTGTGTGTGTGGTCTGCAGGCTTTCAAGACGCTGCCCGAGGAGATCAAGCGGTTTGGCCCGCGATGCATTGTACGTCTGTCTGTCTGTCTGCCAGACCACCTGATTTATGCATGTGGTCTATGTCTGTTCCCTCCCTCCCTCCCTCCGTCCCTCAGGCCCTCCTCTGCCCCTTCTCGACCAAGGTGATCCTGCCCACCATCAAGCAGCCGCTCCACGCCGCCCTCGACCTGTTTGACGCCACTGAGTTCAACAACGAGTGCACCGACGAGGAGATCGACCGATTGGTGCAGCTGGCCAACACACACAAGCCGAATGTCCTGCTGGGGATGGGCGGGGGCAAGGCGCTGGACACCATCAAGTGTGTGGCCGACAAGATGGGCCTGCCCTGCATCATGGTACTCACACACGAGAGGGAGAGGGAGAGGGAGGGGTGGGGGGGGGAGAGAGGGGCATGAACACACACGGACAGAGTTTGTCTGCTTCTGTGCCGTCTGTGTGGTTCTGCGTGTTAGTGTCCGACGATGGCCAGCACCGACGCCCCCTGCAGTGCGTTGTCGATCGTCTACACCGCCGACGGAGCCGTCAAGCGAATTCAGTACCACAGGAAGAACCCAGGTAACCATGCTTGGACGTCACACACACACACACACACACACACTCACCCCTACATACGGCTGTCTGTGTGCGTGTATGTGTCGATCCAATTGACCAGATGTGGTGATAGTGGACAGCGTGACGGTGTCCAAGGCGCCCGTGCGCATGATAGTGGCGGGCATGGGCGACGCCCTGGCCACCTGGTTCGAGGCCGAGAGCTGCAAGATCAAGAACGCACCCAACTCGACCAACAGTGGCCGCCCGGGCAGCCTCACCGCATACGCACTCGGTCAGCACAGACACAGACAGAGAGATTGACGTGCGGAAATCCCTCTCTCTCTCTCTCCCCTCTCTGTGTGTGTGGTCAGCACGGCTATGCTACGACACGCTGCTCGAATGGGGCGTGTAAGTCATCAACTACACGAGCGCACTCACACACGGACACAAACGGCACATGTGGTTCTGTCAATGGTGTTACGCGATGTGGGTCACGCGTTCAGTCAGGCGAAGTGTGCGGTCGAGGCGCAGACGGTCACCCCAGCGCTGGAGAAGATCATCGAGGCCAACACACTGCTCAGCGGACTGGGGTTCGAATCCGCCGGTACACACACACACAGAAACCCTCACACACAAACCCTCACAAACACAGGGAGATGCATTCGGAGAGTGTGGTTTGCCCGTTCATTTGTGTTTTGTCAGGGTTGGCTGCCGCCCATGCGATTCACAACGGGCTGACGCAGCTGCCGCAGACACACCACAACGTCCACGGGGAGAAAGTCGCCATCGGACTGCAGGTGAGGCAAGCCACCACACACCGAGTGTGGATCTCTCTCTCTCTCTCTCTCCCTGTGTGTATGTGTGTGTGTGTGTGTGTGCAGGCGTCGCTGTTCCTGACCGGCAAGGGCCAGGAGATCGTGGATGAGGTCTACACCTTCTGCGAGGCCATCGGACTGCCCACACAACTCAGTCAGCAACCATCGCACACACACACACCACACAAAGGAAGGAACATCTGTCCATGTGTATGTGTGTTGAGTGCAGACGACATCGGTCTGCGAGAGGTGACTGACGATGAGCTGATGATCGTGGCCAAGAGGAGCCTGGAGCCCGGGGACAGCATGATCAACGAACCATACCCCATCGACGCGGAGGCTATCGTCAGGGTGAGTAACACACGCACCCATTATCCATCCATCCACTCACACACAGAGAGAGAGGGGGGGAGAGGTGGACCTTTGTATGTGTGTGTGTGTCCTGATGTAGGCGATGCGCATGGCGGATCACTACGGCAAGGCGCGCAAGCACGGCCTCCTGTCCAAACAGGTCTCCACGCAGCTCCACACCCGCAAATTCGTCCAGCTGCACTGTCACTAACACACACACAAGTCCACAAGGCAGACAGGGCAGGCCGTGTGGCCTTCGTCCGTCCACACATCCCGCTGTCCATGTCTCCAATTTCTCCATTTTCTTGTGCATAGCAGCCAGCAGTCAGCTTAGCTTACGTGTTCGATTTCTCGTCAACACAGGAATGCATGATGCGTGACGTAACCACGGCTGTTGTGTTGTGTACTCAGTCGTATTTTTCTCTCGGCTTTGACTTTGTTTCTCTTTCGTGTGTAGTTTGTATGTGTGTAATAGCGCGGCGGCATGGCTGTCTTTTTCCACCCTCCCGGACACTCGAACCGTACCGTACCATACCGTGGCCGTCCGTGCTTGCTGTCTGCTTGTTTGCTTACTCGAACGACAAGAGATGGATCTTGCTGCTGCTGCTGGTGTCGCTGGTGCTGGTGCTGGTGCTGGTGCGGTGTGCAGTGGCACCCCTACACACAAAGACAAGACAGATCTGAATCAATGTATGTGATATGGCCGGTAACCTGTGTTGTGTATGGCTGAGTGGGGTGCATAGCACATCACAAAACACGCACGATGGAGCCGAGCGGAGAGAGGCAAGGGGCAAGTTGTTGATTTTTGTGTAGAAGTTGGTTCATGCGGTTGGTTGGTGCATTGGATGTCGATCGGCAGAAGCCGCTTCGACTGCATTCGTAACGTAAGGAGACCAAATCGCATGTGTGGTGTCTGTCGGTGCGTGGTGCGTGGTTGTGTGCAGTGAAGGTTGGAGTTCTCGTGTATACATCCTTCCTTGGCTTGAATGGCGACCGATCATTGACACAAGACACTTCGCTCAAACTTGCTGCTCGTCAGCCATTCCCTCTCTCATGGTCCCGACATCTTTCCTCCATCCATCCATCAATCACTCAGTGACCACTGCACACCATCCCCACACCAAGGGCAACGATCGGTTGATGAGGTGACTTGGTGCCCGGAAGATGACGCCATTTCTCGTGTCTGGTAGTTGGGTTTGAAGATGGCACACCTTGATTGTCTTTTTGCTTTGCACATCAGTGTCTCGTCTCGCTCTCCCAACTGTCCGATTATGCCATGCACCTTCCTACTTTCTGTTTGTCTCACACATCTACAAGAATGGCTGGCTGATGATGAAAACGACGGCACGAGAAACTTCCGAGAAACACGCTCCCCCACCCACCCCCTCAACAGCAGCAGCAGCGTGCATACACTTACCTGACTGACACACATGAATGGCATCACTGAGTGTTTGTTGAACATAATGCAGCCAGCTGCGGGAGACAACATGAAACGGATGAATGGATGGATGTGCGCACACAACAGACGAAAAGAGGGGGGCCCGGCTGGCTGGCCAGCCAGAAACACTTCCCAGATCCATTAGTGGTGCCTGTCTGTCTGTCTCTCTGTCCGTCTGCCTCTCTGTCTGTCTGTCTGGCTCAAGTGTGTGCACGAAAGACGATCAAGCAATCAGGCTACCTGCGGGGCCACAAGCATCAGCCAGCCCATGTTCGTGTATACCTGCCGCGGGCTAGGCCACACGCACATGACATCATGAAATCACACGCGCGCACACACACATCACGCTCCTCTGCCCTCCCCTCCCCTCAATGTGTTGTGTGTACGCGACGCCACCGTGAGATGAAAGTAAAACGGTGTTGCTTGGGTGGGATGAAATGGACAGAGCACTTACCTTCCCATAACCTTCCCATAAAAACACGATAAATCAGACACCTGAGTGATCATGCCTCCCATCCCTCTCCCTGTCCCTGTCCCTCCCACTCCTGCTGCTTCTCCTTGCCCTTGCCCCCCGCAGCCCCGTCAGCCTTGGGCTTCGGCTGCTGCGGCGAAGGGGTCTTGCCCTTGCCTGTGCCGTCGGTCGGCACACCCTTGCCCTTGCCGCCCTTGTCCTTTCCCCGGTTCCCTGGGCCTTCGTTGGGTGGTTGGTGCGCGACGCACTTGGCGTCTTTGCAAGTCCCGGAGAGGCACTGGGAGAAGCGAGAGCAGGAGTCATTAATCTTCCTGCGATTCTTGCCTGACAAATACAGAAAGCACACAAACAGCACACACGCAGACACACAGCGGCGAAGGTGTGAGGTTTGGTGTGGTGTGGTGTGGCGTGGCGTGGTGCGTTGACACGTACACTGGCCCAATCCACAGAAACCGTCCTGCGAGGCGCTTCCACAGAAGAACGCGCTTGGGCAGGGACTCCTCTCAGTGTCGCAGCAGCGCACGCATCGGCTCTGCCCGGCACTTGAACCGCTCGGACGGCAGTGGAATCCTGGGTCAGTGCAGGGACTGTTGTCTCCGCACGTCGTAAAATCCTCTGCAGACACCACACACACACACACACACACGAGAGAGAGGGAGAGGGAGGGAAACAGGGTACACTGTGTGTGTGTGGCTGTGGGTCTGTGTGGTTACCCAGCGGGTCAGAGTCGGCGTCGTTGGCAGGGCGGGTGGCGTTGTGGTCACCCTGCTTTGGCGGCTGCTGCTTGGCTGGGGACTGCTGCTCGCTGGGCGGCTGCGCCTTCGGTGGCTGGGGCTTCGCTGGGGCAGGAGCCGGCTGCTGCTTCTCGCCCTTGTCTTGCCCCCCTGCGCCAGTTCCTTTCAGCGCCTGTGTGTCGTCCTGCAGAGAGCGGGTCAATGCGGGCGAGGCGTCGGACGGGATGGCCGCGCACAGCAGCACTGACGCAGAGAGAAACGCAGAGACACAGACACAGACAGACCCAGGTGTGTTCGGTGTTTGGCCGTTCTGTGGGCGGCCAGGCGTGTCGTGACGTGAGAGCTCACCGGCTGACGTGATGAGGAGCAGCAGGGCCGTGGCGGCGGGAGCCGACAGACACGTCGAGCGCATCGTGGGCTGAGCGAACTGGCAGGAACACAGAGGAGCTGCCCAGAGAAAGGCAAGGAAGGAGGAAGAGCCGGCAGAAAAGAAAACTCGAAGGCAGAAAAGAAAACGACAAGCGGAGAGCAGAAAGGAATCCCCGAATCCCGCAACGTACGCAACGCCACGCAGGCGTTTTGTGGCGTTTCTGAGGTCGAGAAGGAAAGGCACGAAATAATAGCGCAATGGACTATTTGCGTTACGGTCCAGGGTTTTCAAAAGGCGCTCTCTTTCACTCCCTTTCTCGGGTTTTCGTTCCCTTTCGGCGAAACAGTTTTGTTCTTTCCTCTCTTTGTCGGCTTCCGTCGCCCCTCCCTCCCTCCCCTGAGCTGACCGAGGAGGCCTCGATGCGCTCGTCTGTGCTGTGCCCCGCCCTCCTGTGGGTCGCCATCTCACTGGCCGGTGAGCACCGCCCCCACACACCACACCACACGACCTGCTGAGAGAGAGAGAAAGAAAAGGCCTGTCACACACACCTCTGTCTGTGTGTCCCTCCTCCCTCCCCTCAGCAGCGTTGGTGTGTGTGCGCGCGGCACCGCAGCCGCCGGCCGCGCCTCTCACCCGATCGCTGCAGGACGACGCCAACGAGGCGGCCGAAGGCCCAGCCGCGGCTGAGCAGGACAGCGGCGAGAAAGAGCAGGTGCCAACCTCGGCTCAAGGCAACACTACCCGCCCAGCAAACGACACGGCCTCAGAAGACCCCGAATATGAGCAGGGTAAGCGGCCGCTTATCTACCTGTCGGCCGACAGGCAGCCATGTCTTGTGTTTGTGCTGTGGGCCTCAGAGCCGTTCGGGCCCTGCGACAGTGATGACGACTGCGCCACTGACAAGGGGTTCGTTTGTGGAGAGACTGAGACTGAGCCGCGGCGATGTCGGCGACTCCGGTGTGATGACGACGCCGACTGCTCAAAGCTGGCGGAGCTTCTGAGCTGTCAGAGAGGCAGATGTAAGAGTGGTACACCTCGCCACCTCAGCACTCCCTGCACACCTCCCTGCACTGCCTCCCTCCATCGTGTGTGTTCATGCGTGTGTGGTATCTCAGGTCGCCCGCCGAGGGGACGAAGGGCGATGTGGCGGGGTTGAGGGCTGGCTGCATGTTGTTGCTTTTCTTATGTGTAGACACGCAGGCAGGCACACATGACAGACGGATGTGCGTGACGAGTGAGTGAGCTCAGGTATGTGTCCCCGGGGAACTGACTCGCTGGATGGCAGGTGGTGGGTGTGGCGGGCGGTTGATGGCTGGCTCTCTCTCCCGTGTCATATGAGGGTGCAAGCAGCAAGGAAGGTGGTGTGCGTGTCTTAGCCATGTGTAGTGCCGCTGGTTCGAAGCGTGTGACCATTTAGGAAATGTAAAATTGTGTAGGATATGAGCTGGCAAATGCACACACAGGGTGAGAGAGGAATGATAGAGCCACTTGTGTGAACGGTTGAGCAACGATCAGTGAGACACGACGTCTGTCGTACTGTGTGTAGTGACACTCGAGAGACTGGCTGAGGGGAGTTGAGGTTAAGTCAGTTGATGCAATGATGACCCGTTCAGTTGTGTACGCCGGCAGGTGATCTGATCCGTTGTGTGTTCTTTACCTTGGCCGCTGCACACCTCTCTGCATAGGTACATACCAAACCGCCCGTGCAATGCACCCACACACACGTGTACAGTCTCTCTCGATGCATTCAACCATGGGTGTGTCTGGGCTGAACTGACCCTTCCATGTGATTGGGTGTCCAGGTATGTGTCTGCCACGTGTCTTTCTCTCTGTCTCCTCTCTTGGCTGCCTCCATGAGTGGCCTGTGGTGATGTCATGTGACATCTGACCGATTAATGTGTGTGAGAGCCGGCGAGTGCGCACAGAGACACACAGAGGGGGGGGGGGGGCATTGAT